CGAATTCCGTAAGGGATTTTCATGTCTGACAAATTTACTTGTAGCTCGTGAAAGCTGGGCTGAGGCAGCAGACAACGGTCACGCCATCGACGTGCTTTTCGTTGACTTCTCTAAAGCCTTTGATACTGTCCCACATCAACGACTCTCATTGAAGTTGAGATCGTGTGGGATATCTGGAGCCGCCCTTAAATGGGTTTCTGCTTTCCTAGAGGGCAGAGAACAGTGTGTACGCGTGGGGCATAGTCTTTCGCTTAGACAAGCTGTTCTTAGTGGCGTTCCGCAGGGCTCGGTTCTAGGGCCGTTGCTTTTCGTAATTTGTCAATGACCTACCCCAGGAGCTTGGAGTACCGTCGCTATTGTTTGCTGATGACCTCAAGCTCTGGAATATTGTTGATATCCCTGGTGGCTCTGAGGCACTTCAGAGTGCCTTGGATAAGCTCTGGGATTGGTCAACCTTATGGTTGATGCCCATAAATCAGGCGAAATGTTCTGTCCTCCGCATTGGAGGTGCTAGTCCCCCCACGCGCTATGTAGTTGGTGGAAGTGATCTCCCTGTTGTCATTCAGCAGGTTGATCTAGGTATCACCCTACCTCATTGCTTCACTCTGGGGCAAATTGGAGGAAGGCTGCTTGTAGAGGGTTCCGTATGATGTGGTTTATTCGCCGCTCCTTCGGTGTCCTAACGGCCAATATTTTTGTGAAGCTGTTCTCAGCTTTTGTGCGACCTCAGAGTACTGTATCCAGGCTTGTCCACCTTGTCTTGTAAGGGACAAAATGGAACTGGAGAGGGTTTTGCGAGTGGGTGCAAGGTTAGTGCAAGGATTACCAGGGCAAACGTATCCCGAACGTTTGCTTAGCTTGGGTATGTACTCAATGCACTACCGCAGAATTAGAGGAGACTTGATCCTCACTTACTGTATCTTAACGGGTAAGATCGGTCCAGACTTGTCCTGGCTATTTAGTCCCGCCAAGCTGCCTAGTCTCCGAGGTCACCCGTTGAAGCTGCACAAACAACGTTCTGACCGGGTAAGGACGGAAACTCGCTTGTCGCGTCGAGTTATTGAACGTTGGAACTCGCTTCCTGCGCACGTAGTTAGGAAGTCTACGGTAGAGAGTTTCGACCGTCAGTTAGATGCTCTTGGGTGGCAGTACCAAACCTTCCCCTTCTCCTAACCGACTTTTAGCTTTAACTTTCCCTTCGTTAATTTTTAATTTTCTTCTCACCTTGGTATTATCATTATTTAGCTGACATTCCTCCTCTTGTTTTGTTAGCTTATCCTTCACTCTTTTACTTCACATAAACCGGCCTGGCAGGGACTGCTGGGCAGGGAAATGTGGGCAGTAATTGGTTGGACTGGGTATGATGCTGTCTTTGTTTTAGGCTTTTCAACATCCCAAGCAGACCTGTCAATTTCTGATCCGACGATACGCAAAAGAAGGAACATTCACGGGATTATCCTATCGTTCCGGTCCCAACTGAACTTGAACTTGAACCATTGGACTCAAAAGAAGGTACAGAAATAGTAAAAGAAAACACAACGAAACACATCAAAGTCCGTGTTTTGTCAGAGATGCTACCCGGTTGCCCAAGCCGAAGTAGTGTGTTGACTTAGGGGACACCACCCCGAGCCTTTGGCCGAATGGCCTGCCCGCCAGGCATCGGAACGAATTCAGCGAATCGCGCCCATTGAGAGCCAGTGACTGATTGCTCAATTCATGCGCCTTTCGTTTCTTCTTTTGTCAAACTGGGGCCCAATGCTCCCCAGAATTACAGCATAAACTTGCAGGAATACAATGCTTCGCCAGAATGAGACAAGGGACAGTGACTTTATTTAGTGGCGAGTCACATCCGCCACGTCACAGTGTTGTTAAGCTGATATATGGTGTTTTTTTATAGGGAGAACGCTTCTCAGGCGAAAACCCACGACGTCCTGAAACACTGCCGCCGAACCATTTGCTGGAACGAGAAAATCCCGAACCACCCAGCTGGCACCACGAGGAGGTTGTTCGGCTTGCCAGCCTTCGTGTACAGTAAGGATTTTGCTGACGAATACATTCCCGCAATCTTTGGATAGAGCCGGTGGGCTGTCAGGGCCGGGAACTTTATGACGCTTCAAAGATATTCTTGTGCTTCGGTAGATCTGTGGGGACAGGCCAAGTACCGTCCGAGTTAAACGGAGGTGTCACAGTGTGCTGTGCTGTGTAGTTAAATTGGAAATCAAAGTGTTCTGCCCAGCAACCTAAGCGCCTCTGTAGGTTGGTGATTTTCGTGCCGTCTGACTCACTGTTTGCCTGACTGATAGCGTGTACATTCCAGCCACTGGTCTTGATGAGATAAAATAAATTGCGGGAGTTTCCAGACAAAGCAACAGCTTCCATCCCAGCAGCTCGTTTTGACCACCAGGATTCACGGTCAGAGCAATGCCTTGATTTTGGCTTTTGAGAGGTAGATCGATGAAGTTCGCAGACAAGCACAGCCCGTCGACTATCTAGCATCTCCGAGGACCTTGCCGAAACCCATCTTTGGGCTGTGCAGCGGTTGAGGCCGCAGCTGGGTAGGCTGGGGGACAGCATTGTTTGTTGCAAACTTGACCAGTATTGATCGACATCCAGAGTAGGAGATGGTTAGATTTCCACGAAGCCTCTGTTGATACGGCGTTTTCACTGTCAGGTCCTCCAACTTGTGGGTGTTCAGTCAGGTTTGTTTGGCGCTAACAGAGCCACCGAAATGCATGCATACTGTCACAGATGATCACTTTCAACGCAAGTAAACCAAAATGATATACAATTGCGTATGCTGCGGTGTCATCTGCGACTAATGGCTGTGTCAATTTGTGACCAGTGCTGGGTTGATAATAAAGGACGCCAGGTGGCATAGTGGTGTCCACGGCGACGAAAACTTCTACTGGAGAGGAAAGTTGGTGGTTAGCACCTAGACTGTGTAGTCCCTCTCCTTTGTCAGAGCGTTCCCCCTTGGTAACGTACACAGCAGTAGCCGACCGACACGTGGGTTGAAGTCTCCTACCATAATTATGATCTTTATTTTAGGCGCCATTGTGGGCAACTCATGAACGTGTTGATAAAACTGGTCCTTGACTGTCTTCGAGCTGCAGCTAGTGGGTGCCTAGTCGTAGGTCACAAAAACACGATTGTTGGCTCGACGGAGCCTTATCGCGCAAAAACGACTGTTGGTTGGAATCCAGCCAAACAGGGCGGCCTCGGCTTTGGCACTGTGGGTGATCCTAACACCAGCTTACCCAGATGCGGCGGACTCAGTGTCACCAGAAAACCGAAGAGAAAAGTGGGTGTGTGGATGGACTGGTGACGACTGCTGGTAGACTGTATTGTAATCTTGGAGTCGTGTTTCCTTCAAACAGCAGCTATCAACTAGAAGAGTCTCCAGCGTGTGTGCAAGTTCAGCTTACTGTCCGATCAGCACTCATGTGCGCGCGTTGATGGTTGTCGGCCGGTGGCCGAGTGGTCGGCGCGTTTGCTTTCCAACCATAAGGTCACCGGTTCGAGTCCGCGTAGGGGTGGGCGTCCTCGCGGTATACTCAGCCCGCGCACGACTAGTGGTGGTCGCGCGGCAGCGAAGCGTCGTTACGGCGTATAAGCTGACACATTTCATTTCATTTCATTTCATTTTGAACTGCAATCCAGGTTGCCATAACGAAGATGGCAGACTTCGGAGCTGGCACTTCCCTGTCGAGGACTGTGTAGTTGAGAACAACTGCGTCGCTGGATGTATGGTTGTCCACTGATGACGAATCAGATAACAATGTGGATGAATGATACAACCGAATGGTAGGTGAATTGATGGCGTGTTTGTAAAGTTGGCTTTGTAGCAGGACAGTTTATCATTATGATAGCGAAAGAGAGTGAACGTAATTGTGTGGGGTTCTATGGCTCGTCAGTAGGCGAGCTACTACCTGATTATCTATGCGTAAGTGAGTTGTCTTAGAAGACCACCGCCCTGAGCCTTTGGGCAAAAGGTCTAACCTACAAAGCATCAGGGCGAGATAAGGATTTCGAACCGGTTGGGAGCCGGTGACTGAACATTCGTTTCAAACACCTTTTGGATGCCAAAAAGCCATACCGGAATTCGAAGCCAGAATCCGATGTTCGGATTGCTTGCAGAGATACGTCTTTGAGTAAGGGGGCAGTGAATTTATTTATTTAGTGGCGGGTCACATTCGCCACGTCGCAGTGTTGTTAAGCGGACACTTGTAGCTAGTCAAGCGTAAGCCTACCATGTCCTGGATCACTGCCGCCGCGTAATTAGCCGGAACGAGAAATATCCGCCCAGCTGGCCCCACTAGGAGGTTGTTCGGCAAGCCAATGGATCCGAAGACATCAATTATTACTGTGCATTGGATCGGTGAAGTACGCGGCTGTTCGCATCGCATTAAGGTTCACTTTTTCACCATTGAATCTTCGTACTAATCGTTATATCGTCAGTCACGATCGCATGTATTTCGACTTGGTCGCATCTTAAGGCCATTAGTAGTACATCGGTTCATCGTACTGATATTTCGCTGCCGCGCGTGTGCAGGCTTTGGTTACTGCGAGGTCACGCGCGGTTATGAAAGCTCGAGGTGGTGTCCTCTGGATTACAAGCCAGACACCTGAAACACTCAGCCACCGGCCGAGCTGCTTTTATCTTGCCTTTCAGCAATCCTTAGCGTTTTGCTACGGGCGGTGCTTGTGCGCTTGCATGCTCATCGAGATCCTCAGGCACTTATGATATGCGCTTTCAGCTAGTCCCATAATTAAGTTTGTATGACGAATCTCGTTACCTTTTTCCAACCTACACTATACATATTACCTAGACCGTTTCGCCACTAACCGTTAATCTTGGTTACTTGAACAAACCTGAAGATTTTTATGGGGCTTCATGCTAAGAGAATCTGCAGATCACGGCAGTACGCAAAACATCGTATCGCATCTTTTTTACGGTCGCTAAGATGGGGTCACCCACTTTGATCTTGATTATTTTTTCAGTGCTATTTCTGGATGGTTCATACTCGACGATCCGTACGCAAAGAGGAAATTGCGCACACGCATCCAGACAAGGACGTTACTCCCAGAAACCGGAATCGTCTCTCACTTATTTCAGCGGGAAGGAAAGCAGTGTCGAAGCAGTGTGTTACCAAATTAACTGTCCAGGAAGCAAAGGAAAAATCCTCAGAGAATTCCTCGAATGAGTTTATTATTGGTCGGGAAAAGGAAATATCGCATATTCATGAATTCATTCGAAATAGTATGGAGACTCGTCATAGCTGCAGTATGTACGTCAGCGGTTCTCCTGGAACAGGGAAAACCGCGGTGGTCAGTTATGTGACAAATCATCTTGGATCCTACTCTCACTGTCGGGTTTTGTTTATCAACTGCATGAACCTGAGCTCGGCTAGTGAGGTGTTTACGCGAATTTTCGAATCACTTAGCCAGAACTTACACGGGAAGGAAAACCGTGGCACAGTTGGCCACTCCGTCGTCGAAGCGACTTTCGAGAAGTTTTCGAACCTGTCTACTTTCATTGTTATTTTGGACGAATTGGATCAGCTTTATTCGAAAAGCAAGGCCGTTTTGTACCGGTGAGTTTCCAAGTGCTTTTGTCTCTAGACTGATCCACTCGCACAGTCCGCCATAAGATAGTTGCTCTCTGCACAACCTGCAATCCTTGTCTTGAAGATTGCTCTGGCATCTTAAACTGAGTCACCCATTGTTACATGGAACGTCTCCCTTGATAGTTTGCTAATGGATTATTTTTGCTAGATCATTCTCTCCTTCGTCTGGGTCTTTTCTTCGCTCTTTTTAGAGGATCTCGTGATACTACGGATAACTTGACTGAACCACATTCCCTTTCTGCTACATATTGTTTACCACGTGTTTGACACGATAAATCGTCTCGAGTCTGCTCACTGTGATTGTATGCAAAATAGTATGGTCGTTGTGCCGCAGTGCAACGTAAGTAACTGGCTGGAGAACTACTCCGGGGAAAACAAAATGAATAAGAAATTCGTGGGTTTATTGCTTGAAACAGAACTAAGTTCAACGAATGTGCCGTATCGAATTACAGTGGATTTTGTAGAGTGGGGAACCGAACTGTGATATGGGATAGCAACTGCGTTTTTATTTTCGTACTCATTCTTCACTTGCTTTGTCTGGTGTTATGTCATCCCTTGATTACTCTAGTTTCATTCTAACTTGTTGCCTCTATCCTTCGTCAGTTATAAGCCGGCCTTAACTTAAGGTAACGAGCTTCTCTGCTAATTTAGCGGCGCGGGTTCGAGTCTGCATAGGGGCAGGGGGACCCTCGCAGGATTTTTAGCCAGCGTACGACCGGTAGTGGTTGCCTGTCGGCCCGTAGCCTGGAGGTAATGAGTTTGTCTCATGATCTTGTGGCGCGGGTTGAATCCGCGTCGGGGTGGGCGTCTTCGCGGAATACTCAGCCCGCCTGCGACTGGTGGTGGTCACACGGCGGCGAGGCGCCGTTAGGGCACACGGCTGACACTATTATTATTATTATTATTATTATTATTATAAACTTCATCCTGCATCGGCCGTCGCGCAGATTATCAAGGGTCGCCTTATCTGCTGCATACAGCAGGGTGGATAAGCGAAAGCATGCTACTGCTGGCGCCTCCCTTCTTTCTTTTCCACCTTTTTCTCTTACTCCCATCCCGGCCCCCATTACTAACCTTCCTTCTATAATTCCCAGCTTAATTGACAGCAACCGAAGTGCTACTGGAGTAGAACCATCTGCAGCCACCATCCCACAGCACCTATCAGACGCCTATCGGCAAAAGTTCCTTATAAGGCCACGCTGTCCCGTTTCCATGGCGACATTCAACGTCCGCACTCTAAGACAAACAGGTCAGCAGGCTGCACTCGCACGCACCTTGGACACACTGGGTGTTGATGTGTGTTGTGTGTCCGAAACTAGGATTAATGACCCTAACGGGGTTATTGAATTGACTGCACCCGGCTTATCCTCTCGTTATTGGTTGCACGCATCCGGAGATGCCGATGCGGCACTCACGGGTCAAGCTGGTGTAGGTATCATTCTCAGCTCCAAGGCTGAGTCATCGTTGGTTGATTGGATTCCGGTGAACAGCCGTTTATGTGCAGCCCGTTTGACGACATCAGCTAAGGTGAACTCGCGAAGTAAAACAAAACGCTGTTTGTTTGTGATTTCTGCTTATGCTCCCACGGACTGCAGTTCTAATGCAGTCAAGGACACTTTCTGTCACGAACTGAACACGCTGCTACGCAGTGCTACTAGTTCAGATATTATAGTACTTGCAGGGGATATGAACGCACAAGTAGGGCGTCTGAGCTCTTCAGAAGCTCAGCTGGGTGGTAAGTATGGACTTAACGCCGAACGGACTGACAACGGCGAGCGTCTGCTGCAACTGTGTGCGGAGTACCAGTTGTTTCTTACTAGCACTGCTTTTAGACACAGTGGGCGCCGAAGTGCCACTTGGCGTCCACCTGTAGCTGGTCAGCGATGGACCCAAATTGACCACATAGCCATAAGTTACAGGTGGCGCGGTTCCATTCTGGATTGCCGCTCGTACTGGAGTACCTGTGTCGACTCTGACCATGCCTTGGTGCGTTGTCGTTTCTCCATGAACTTTACCGGAAGGCGCACAAAGCGTCTCCCCCGATTGGCAACGGAGAAATTGTTCCAGCCCTCTGTCAAGCAAGCCTATCAAGAAGCACTGCATAGCGAACTCTCGCTGTCTTGTCCTAATGATACTGAACTTCAGTGGAATAGGATCTCGGCCACTATGCACGACGCAGGAGCATCTGCTTGTGGCACTATCAGTCGTCACCGCACCAGTCACTGGATATCCGAGAGGTCTGTGAACCTTTTGGAAGCTAGAAGGCACCTCCCGGCTGGTTCTGAACACAATGTGACCAGACGGGCTATTAGGCGTGAACTAAAGCGGAGCCTACGTGCTGACAAGGAAGCTTGGTGGACCAGTCGGGCTCAAGAAATGGAGGAGGCAGGAGCAGTAGGCAATTACCGCAAGCTCTTCCAGCTAATACGCACCACTGGTCCGAGAAAACCAGGCGTCAGTGAGACAATCAGGGACAGCGCGGGTGCGCTGATACACAATAAGGAGCGCCGTATGGCTCGTTGGGCTGAGCACTTTGAACATCAGTTCAGCTGGCCCCCTGCTCCCGGACCTCTTCCTACTCAGGTGATGCAGGACGAGCCATGGACGGTTAGTTTAGAGCCTCCGTCGGAGGCCGAGGTCCGAAACGCGATCACAGCCCTCAATCGTTTTCGTGCCGCTGGCCCGGATTCCCTCCCACCTGCACTATTTAAGGATGGAGGTGAGGTCCTCTGCAAATCACTGACCTCCCTATTCGAACGTATCTGGAACGAAGAGAGTGTGCCGGCTAATTGGAGCGAATCGATTGTAGTGGCAATATACAAGAAGGGCAGTCGCACAGACTGTGCGAACCACAGGGGTATTAGCCTAACGCCAGTTGTGACAAAATTACTGGCCTCGATTATCGTTCGTCGCCTCACTGCAGAACGGGAATCTCGGATTAGAGAAGAGCAGGCCGGTTTTTGCCCAGGACGTGGTTGTATAGACCATATATTTACTTTGCGGCAGGTGCTAGAGCAGCGCCACGCATACCGCAGACCGACAATAGCTGTGTTCCTCGATTTCAAGAGTGCGTTCGATTCAGTCGATCGATCGATTCTGTTCGAAATAATTGCGCGGAAAGATGTTCCCACGAAATATGTGAACATCCTTCGTGCTCTATACTCGAACACTAGAGGCCGCGTCAGGATCTATGGTGCCCTATCGGATAGCTTTTCGACTACAAGTGGCGTTCGACAGGGTTGCCCGATTTCCCCGTTTTTGTTCAATTTCGTCGTGGATTCTATCATGGAGTGTTCCCTTACGGAATCTCACGATGTAGGTGTTGAAGTGCTGCCTGGTGAACGGTTAGTTGATCTAGATTATGCGGACGATATCGTCTTGCTTTTCGACAATGTTGAGGCGGCACAATCAACCCTGAATAGCCTGTCCAGAGTGGTCCCATTATTTGGTATGCACTTCGCACCTTCAAAGTGCAAAGTGTTGCTGCAGGATCACCAGCCACTTGATGACCCCTTGACGCTTGCTAACGAGGAACTCGAGGTGGTTGATCAATTCACTTATCTTGGCAGCTGCATCAGCAATGATGGGCGCATAGAAACTGACGTGAGTTCACGCATTGCAAAGACTAGAGCTGCCTTCTTGAACTTGCGGCACCTTTGGCGACAGAAGGGAATTTCCCTCCGTCTGAAAGGCCGTGTATACAAGGCCACAGTGAGGGCCGTTCTGCTCTATGGTAGTGAAACTTGGCCCCTTCGGTCTGAAGATCTGAGGCGCCTTCAAGTCTTTGATCATCGTTGTTTGCGAAGCATAGCTGGTGTCGGATGGCACCAGCGTGTCCGCAACGATGATGTGCGTAGGCGAGTACTAGGTGGTGATGATCATGCTAGCTCCCTAGAACAACAGATAGCACTGAATAAGTTACGTTGGCTCGGGCACGTGCTACGCATGCCTGGTCACCGCTTACCTAGGAGGGCCTTGTTCAGTCTACCAGGTGTCGGATGGCGCAAGGCTCGAGGTGGACAGAAGTTGACTTGGCAGCGGGAAATGAAGTCACTGACGACCAAACTGGGTGCCGTTGGTCCGTCTCGCCTTCCGGGTTGGAGTCCACGTGGCTCACCTTGTGCTTGGCTCGAGACTTTACAGGACATGGCTCGCAACCGACACCAGTGGCGCGTCTGCTGCCGTCTCCTAATCGGATTGTCTGTTTAAAGTGTGTTTGGTGCTGAGTTATCTGCGGGGTAATGGCTGATTATGACGCGTGGCAGTGAAAGCCGCAAGGAAGCTGTCTCGCCGATGCCGCCTTATCTTTGCACGATAGCCAGCTGTTTGTGGCGGTATGTTGTCTACACAAGGTGTAGGCGCCTTGACCCTGAATGTTTGCTTAGGACATTAAGATTTTCAGGTAAGTCCCCCTTCTCTCCCTCTTCTTATTCTTTATTTCATAGGTCCTCATGGTTGTATGGCAGCGAAGCATCAGTTCAAATGGCTGATGTACTGCTGTTGTTGATGATGATGATGATGAGTGGTTGCGTGGCAGT